CGCAACGCGCACCGCGCAACACACAACGCACAACGCACTGCGCACAACGCGCAGCGTGCAACGCGCAACGCACAGCACGCAACGCACAGCCGCAAGACACAACGCACAACGCACACCGCACACTGCACAACGCACAACGTACACCGCGCAAGGCGCAGCACGCAGCACACAGCACACAACGCACAACGCACACCGCGCGGTGCACAACGCGCAACTTACAACGCACAACCCACAAAGCAACGCAGAACATGCAACCCGAAACGCGCAGGACGCAACGCACAACACACAACGCACAACACTCAACACGCAGCGCGCACCACAGCACGCAACGCACAACGCACAACATACAACGCACAGTACACATGATATACCAAAACGCACAACGCACAACGCGCATCGCGCGCCGCACAACGCGCAGCGCACAACGCACTGCGCGCAAGGCACAACGCGCTACACACCACAAGTATCATTACGCAGACCACGCACAACACGCGCGCGACGCACAACGCAAAACGCGCACTGCGCCACGCATAACGCACAACGCACGACATACGCCGCACAACGCACAGCGCACAACATACAACGCACAACGCACAACGCACACCACCGCGCAACGCACAACGCACAACCACAGCGCACAACGCACAACGCACCGCGCAACGCGCGCGCAACGCATGCGCGCGCATGCATGTGCGCGCGCGCACGCGCGGGCGCGCGCTCTCTCGCGCGCGCGCGCGCCCGCGCGCACGCCGCGCACCGCGCAGCGCGCGCTGCGCAACGCACAACGCACAACGCACAGCGCGGGGCGCGCAGCGCGGGGCGCACGCACCGCAACGCACACAGCCCAACGCACAACACACAACGGACAGCGCGCAACACAACGCACAACGCACAGCACACAACTCACAACGCACAGCACGCAGTGCACAACGCACAACGCACATCGCACAACGCGCAGCGCAACGCGCAACGCACAGCACGCAACGCGCAACACACAACGCACAACGCACAACGCGCAACGCACAACGCACAGCACGCACTGCACAACGCATCGCGCGCAACGCACAACACGCAACGCACAACACACAACGTACACTACGCAACGCACAATAAACAGCACGCGCCGCACAACGCAACGCGCAGCGCAATGCGCGCACCGCGCGACGCGCGACACGCACAACACGCAACCCGCACTTCGCAGCACACAACGCGCAATGCAAAACGCGCGGCGCACAACGCACAACGCACAGGGTGCAACGCGCGACGCGCTTCGCACAACGCACGTCGCAAAACGCACGACGCGCAGTGCACGGCGCTCAACGCGCAACGCGCACCGCGCAGCGCGCAACGCACAACGCACGACGCACGTCGCACAACGCACAACGCACGGCGCACAACGCACATTGCGCAACGCACAGCACGCGACGCACAACGCACAACGCACAACACACAATGCACAACGCACAACGCACAACGCACATCACACAACAAACAGCGCACAACACACAAAGCGCATGACAAAACACACAGCACACAGCGCACAACGCACAACGCACAACACACAACGCACAACAGGCACCACGCAACGCGCAACGCACAACGTGCAACGCACAACGCAAAACACACAACACACAACGCACAACACACAATGCACAACACAAACAACACAATGCACAACGCACAGCGCACAACACGCAACGCGCAGCGCGCAACGCACAACACGCAACGCACAACGCACAACGCACAGCGCGCAACACGCACCACACAACGCACAGCACACAACGCACAACGCACATCGCACAACGCACAGCGCACGACGCACAACGCACAACGTACAACCCACAATGCCCAACAACCACAACACCCGGCACGCAACGCACAACGCACGCCGCAACGCACAACGTACAACGCACAACGCACAGCGCACAGCACGCAACACAACCCACAAGGCGCAACATACAACGCAGAACGCACAACACAGCACAGAGGGCACGACGCACAATAAGCAACGCACACACAACACACAACACACAACACACAACACACAACACACAACACACAACGCACAATCCACGACACATAACGCACGCAACACACAACGCACAACACACAACGCACAACGCACAACACACGCACACACACCACGCAACACTCAACGCACAACACACAACGCGCAACGCATAATGCACAGCACACAGCGCGCAGCGCAACACGCAGCACGCAACACGCAGCACACAACACACAACGCACAACACAAGGCATACTGCAACATACACAATACACAACGCACAACGCACAACATACCACGCACAACACACAACGCACAACCCACAACACACATTATACAACGCACATCGCACAACACACAACGCACAACACACAATGCGCAACGCACAGCACGCAACACACAACACACAACACACAACGCACAACACACAACACACATCACACACCACACAACACACCACGCACGACACACGACACACAACACACAACGCACAACACAGACTACACAACACACAGTATACGACGCACAACGCACAACACACAATACACAACACACAACGCACAACACACTATACACAATACACAACACACAACACACAATACACAGCACGCAACGCACAACGCACAGCACACAACACACACAACACATCACAACACACGACACAAACACCCACAACACACAACACACGCCACAACCGCACACACAGCACACGCCCGTAACACGCACGCACCCACGCGCACGCACGCACGCGCGCACATGCGCACGCACGCACGCGCGCTCTCGTATTCACACCCACGCGCGCACGCACACACACACACACACCCACGCACGCACACGCACGCTTACACGCGCACGCACACACTCACACATGCGCACGCGCACACATAGAGTCACACCCCACCGCGTGCACGCACGCACACACACGCACACACGCGCACGCTCGCATGCGCGCACGCACGCACGCACGCACGCACGCACGCGCGCACGCACACGCGCACGCACACACACACACACACGCACGCACACGCACGCGCACACACGAACACACACGCACGCACATGCTCACACAAGCCTTCGCCCGCCTTCACACGCACGCGCGCTCGCGCGCACGCGCACATGCACACGCGCGCGCGCGTGCGCGCGCGCTCGCACGCGCGCGCGCACACGCACCGCGCACACGCACGCGCACAGGCGCACGCACTCGCACACGCAAACGCACACGCACATGCGCACGCACGCGCACATGCACACGCGCGCACGCGCACGCGCGCGCCACGCACGCGCACACACGCACACACGCATGCACGCACGCACGCACACACGCACACACGCGCACACGCACACTCGCACGCACACGCGCACACACGCACGCACGCACGCACGCACACACGCACACACGCACACGTGCACACACGCACACACGCACACACAGACACACACACACACACACCGACACCCGCATCCACACAGTTCAAGCACATACACATATACAATCACAAACACAAACCCAAGCACACATGTATATGCATATTCATACTATAGATGTATATTTGTCTGTTTGTATGTATGTATGTGTGTATGTATGTATGTATGCATGCGTACATGCATGCATGTATGTATGTATGCACGCATGTATGCATGTGTGCATGTATGTATGTATGTATGTAGTTGCGCATTTTCACACACACACGCACATTCATTATATATATATATACATACAAACATACAAACATACAAACATACAAACATATATATATATATATATATATATATATATATATACTTGGGCCACCGCGCCGACGCCCGTCCAGGACCTCGCACGTTAACCTGGCCCGCGGACCACCGCCGCTCTGAACCCCCCCAGCGGGCGCCGTGGCGCCACGCAATGGTCAGTGACGTGATCAGTCAGTTCCCGCGCCCGTGCCCTCGCCGCCGCCCAACCAGGCCCCATCACCTGGCAGCCAGCAACGCACCGCACCAGGCGCCGACGCCCGTCGAGCACCCACGGCTGTGCCCCATGCCCCTCCAGTTCACGGCGACCCCAAACCGCCATCCCTCGTAGAGCATGCTCCCCTCAGGAGCGACCGCTCGCTGCTCGCCTTCACGACCCCCCCGCAAACCCCAACGCGCCACGGGCCACCTGGCATCGCGGGCGAAGTCGCAGGCTTCGGCCCTGGCCGCTTCCACGGCGGCCTTGTAAGCCCATTGCGACTGGTCACCGTTACTCGAGAGGCACTCTGCCTTCACCCAGCGCCTTCGACGCGCCCAAACGGCATGGACGGCCCTTCGTCGGCCGCCCCACCTGCCACCACCCGGCCAACTTGGCGGCCGTGGTGGTGGAGGCCTTGAGTAGTCTCGCTCCACAGCCCCCCCGATGGCTTGTAGGCTCACCCAGAATTCTCGCATCTGTGCTCCACGTTACGCTTGGCAAATTTTCAGCCGTTCCGCGCTCACCCACGTTGGGTTTGCCCGGCGCACAGTACTGCCAGCGGCCGACGCCGCCATGCCAACGGGGGCTATCTAAACGGCAACCCGCCTTTCCGCGGGGCGTTTCGCCCCTGTCACCGTCCGGCGCCTCCTGTTCAGTCGCCTCGGCGCCAGGGGGAATTTCGTTTCGGGGACCCCCTGTCCATGCAGGTTGTGCTCGGCTTCTAGCTAACCTAGGGTGGGCATGCGCTTGCCGCTGCAAGCCTGGACACTCGTGCCCTCATCTGTGTGTGTGTGTGTGTGCGTGTGTGTGTGTGTATGTGTATATATATGTGTAGATATAAATATTTTCGCTTTCTCTCTCTCTCTCTGTCTGTCAGTCTCGCACTCTTCTCTCCCCCATCGTTTTAATGCTGCGTCTACATCGTACTCTCTCTTTCGCTCTCGCTCTCTCTCTCTCTCTCTTTCTCTCTCGCTTCTCGTTTTCCCTCCTGTCTCCCTCCTCCCTGATCCTTCTCTTCCGCCGCCTTGCGCATCAGGCTGGGACGACGGGGACTTTGAGAGC